CATTAGCACCTCTAATAATATATTTACTGAGAAAAATGGTGACATGTTCAATACTTATTTTACCCGCTGTATTTTCTTTGATTCTTTGTATTTGAAGCATTTGTCACAGGCAGTTTAAAACAAAATGGTATTTTAATTTTTTTGATTTTTTTTTTTGTCTGAGGAATGAGTTTATGTTTAGATTGAACCAAAACCCAGAGATTAACCTCTGCAGTCTCGTCACAAACAAAGTGAAAGATGTTCCAGTTGATACATATGAGACACAAAAAATATATCTCCTTTATAAGGATCAAGCAGTTTATTAAATATCAAATCATAAATAAGATGGTTCATGATGATGTGTCCATTCTTTCCCTGCACAGGGCTCTAGCAGAGGAGAAGTATGGAAAAGATTTAGTGACTATTGCTCGCAAAGCTGGCGGACACACAGAGATCAGGTAAGAAAATTAAATGTTATTTATGTATATCATGCACACTGTAAAGTTATATGGGTAATGTTATGAGTTGTGTCTAATATGTGATGTTTGTTATTAGAGCTGATTAAAACTGAGCAGAAAACTAAACCAAGCCAAGCATTCAGACTCACATTCTTTGATTAGAAGTTTGCATAAAAAAGACAGAAACTTTGTTATTAGTTAGGTTTAGAGGTATGGTGTGAATTAGGATTTGGTTCAGGTTAAGCTTAGCTATAGACCAGTAATTGTTAATTTCAGGGAAAATGTCTGGGTTAGACATAAATACAGTTACAAAAATGAATGGAAGCCAATACAATGTCCTCAGTTTGATGCACATACAAGGATGTGTGTGCGCGTGTGTCTGTGTTCACACTCCACAGCTTCTCTCTCAGTCTGCAGGTCAATGTTTCTTGTCTGTTTCCTGTTCAGTGAACAGCAGCAGCTTAAGAAGAGACCCTTCAGAAGCAAAATCTTTGGGTCATTTTATTCCAAACTAACAAATCTGGCATTCATGTTGTGTGTTTTTTTAATCACATAGAGCAAGCTGGCCTGCCGGTGTTTGAATCTCCATGTTATGTTTGATTTGACTCAAAACACACAGCTTAATATTTTTCACCATGTTGTTCTTTTCCAGCACTTTGAAAGCATCCTTTGAACAACTCAAAGCTCGTGAGTCCAGTTTATAAATGTATCCAGCTACACTTATTGTTTTTATAACATAAAGATAAATGATTTTTTTTTTCAATTTCAGAAATTGAGAACATTGGCAACTTTCACATCCATTTATCTGATCTATTGAAAGAGGAGGTGAAAAAGATTGAGACATTCAGAGAGCGGCAGAAGGAGCAGAGGAAGAAGGTACTGGTCATTTAATGCTGCTTAGCAGCCAAACTGTTTGGAGGCACGGCTCAAGTGTTGACCAGTTCAGAGTTACACTAAATATTTGCTGCCAGGGTGTTGAATGAATCACTTCTCGTAGTGGGCTCTTTGATTTACAAATGATACAGGCATGAGTGCAGGTTGTGATTGTAGAAAACTCAGAACAGAGTTTCAGAATTAGTTTTTTTTAAAGGGATCCCTGATTAGTTGTAACATTAGACTTTATTTAATGAACATATATTTTACCTGTAAAATAAAGACTGAAAAAATACTGTAGGCTGTTTAGTTTTTTCGGACGGGGCCGTTTGATTTACACGCAAGGCATTCTGGGTAAATGATGACGTGGATAGGTCATCTGTGCGAGGC